TTTGCATTTTATTATTTTTTAGATGCCATCATTCTGTGCGATTCATGATCAGTTTTTCACATGAGAACCAAAAACATGTCCCCACAAGGTCAAAATGTACTAGTATTAATAATCTTGCAGATAAGGAATACAAGGTAAACTCACACAAATGTTTACATACACATTTATGTTTATATCATTACTTTACTATATCATTACAACAGTTCTGTCTGGTTTTCAAATCTGTGATGTTCTGCAATAACAGCACTTGTACAACCTTTTCAATCTTGTGTATTACTCCGCCCACAGAGGGTGACAGAAAATCAACAGACTCACTAGAGTAAATATATCAGTTAAGTGTTAGTTATTAGCTTAAGTATGTTATTAGGACGTTATTCTAAAGCTGCAACTATTCCTCATTTACTAACAGTTAATAAATGAAGAATAGCTGCAACTTTAGAATAACGTCCCAATAACATATATACACTATTAACTGATACTTAACAAGCCTTTATTAAGTAATTTACTAACAGCTTGTTCATGATCTCTTAATAATCTATTAGGTATAGTTATAAATCATTAAAATAAAGTTAACAAGTTAATTACAACTTGTTAATTAAAAGCTTGTAAGTTATCTATTAGCCATCTATAAGGCACAGTTATAAATAATTAACAAACTATTAACTTTTATTTAACGAGTCATTTATAACTTGTTAACTAACAGTTTATTAATGGTATTTTAACTAGTTATAACGGAGAGTTATTCTAAAGTGTTACTAAAAATGGATCTTTTGATTAACGTTAAATTCTTTTTTTTCTTTATTGTGAATGGAAAAGGTGCATTTACACAAAAATCTACTTTAAAAAAAAAATAACATTGTTTAAAAATGTATTTGATGTTTTATATTTACTGAAAATAAATTGACACATTTTGGATAGAGCAAAATGCTTTTTAATAGTCCTTGAATGAACACATTTGACACTGTTAAGGTACAAAATGTCTCGTCGCTGTAGTGGTTCCTTCATGGATCTGATTTGTACCTTTGATGAAGCTACAATATTGTATCTGCAGGGTTTAAAAACCAAAAGGTACATTTTGGCTTCCCATGGTACAAATCATGTCCTTAAAGGTACAAACTGCAATAGTACAAATTTGTTTCTTGTCTTAAGGTACAATTCTGTTCCATAAAAAGGTACTGCCCCAGTGACGAGGGTTTGTACCTTCTTTGGTACAACATTGTATTATTTTTTCTGAGAGCATATATGTGAATTATTTTTATGGAAATGTGTAGTATATGCATTGAATTTAAAACATCTGCAATACAGTTATAAATCTCCCCTCCCCCCACCTTTAAAACAAAATGAACCTCAACGACATCTCTTTAAAACAAACCAAACATAAGCTTCCTTCAAAACGTACATACCATACTGGCGCCGTTATCAATTTTCCGCCAGCTCCACTGTGGATACGGATAACCCACGGATTTGCAGAAGAGGATGGCTCTCTCCCCCTCATTCTTATTCTCACTGTGCTTGTGTGTTGTGATTTCTGGTCCAGCTATGAGACGAGAGCAGAAGGACACAGAAACCTTCAGTGACAGCACACATTTCACTGCAGAAACCTTATTAAGCACTCTGATCTTCAATCACTGTGCCGACGTTTTCTTTTAATGCCATTGCAGCGTCATTTTGTAGGATAAATATAGCTTGCTGCTGGTGGCAGATCAGGAAAATATTAACCCATTTAAGAACATTTTGTCTTGCAATTGAAGTACATTCATTTTTCACTTTATGCCTCCATTAATATTATGTTGGTTAAATTAGGGTTTTATAATTGTTCACCATAGTGACTGGTGGGAATTGGCATAGTCATAACTTAATTGCATATGTGTCATATTAGGGGCGGAAAAACTCCAGAAAGTATTCATAGCCCTTTTCCACATTTTTTTTATGTTACAGCCTTATTCCAAAATGGATTAAACTCATTTATCAAAATTTCAAGATATAAAAATTCTATGTTGTCCTTCTGTACAGTTCTTCTCTCTCCAAAGAAGAACGCTGAAGCTCAGACAGAGTGACCATCGGGTTATTGATCACCTACCTGACTAATGCCCTTCTCCCCCGATCACTCAGCTAGGATGACCGGCCAGCTCTAGGAAGAGTCCTGGTGGGCCTTATATAGACAGGTGTATGCCTTTTCAAATCATGTTCAATCAACTGATTTACCACAGCTGAACTACAATTAAATATAATCAGTGGAAACAGAATGTATCGGAGCTCAATTTAGAGCTTCACGGCAAAGGCTGTGGATACTTAAGTACAGGTGATTTTTCCAATTTTTTTTTTGTAATAAATTTGCAAAAAATAAAAAAAATCTTTTATCACATTGTCATTATGGAGTATTATGTGTAGAATTGAGGAAATATTTTTTTTAATCCATTTTGGAACAAGGCTGTAACAAAAAAATGTGGAAAAAGAGAAGCGCTATCAATACTTTCCAGAAGCACTGTAAGTGTAATTTAAACAGTTGTATGGGCGATGATCACTATTCTGTTTTTTGGGAGTTTTTCTGATATTTATTTATGGTAGAATGACAAAAAAATAAATTAATAATTTATTAATAAATTGCGTTCTTCTTCAGAAACGGGCAGCAGAGTGGCAAAGTCATCAGCTCTACCAGTCCAGCATTATGCAATACTATTGTGTAGCCTAGAATTCTGGACCAAGAACAGTTTGTACTGTAACTGTGCTGTTTCAGGTTCACCTGAAAACCCAACTGGAACCACACCTGAGTGTTTTTACAACGGTTTGACACGATAGTGTTCACACAGAGATTAACTTTATTTTATAATCTTCCTCAAGCCACAAGCATAAAAAAGTTGCACAATGTCCCATGCCATTTGATTAACACCCAAAGCAATTACATCCAAGGAACTACATGTTACTGACACTGCTACATGCAAAACAAATACATTTATATAAAGAAAACTAGCACATTATTTTATCCACAACACATTTGTAATAATAATAATAATAATAATAATAATAATAATAATAGACAATGAAATTATGTATGTTGCACTATAGGGTCACAATTAAAAGTCCAAAAATACCAACAACACTGATGCACAAAAGCTACTTTAGCACCGTATATAGTCCAGATTTTTTTAATTTAGTCATGTATGTGCACCTGTGTACCAGTTATGTGTACCCCAGTTACGTTTTAGAGCTTACAGAATTAACTAAATAATTGGGGTGGGATGAAATGGGTGTAATTTTATAGTTGAAAATGTGAAAATCTCACCATTTACTCACATTCAAGTGGTTTCCATACCTCATGAGTTTCTTTATTCTGTACACAAAAGAAGATATTTTGAAGAAAGCCTGTAACCACTGACATCCTTAGTAGGAAAAACATGTACCATGGAGAAGTCAATGGTTACTGGTTTCCAGCATTCTTTAAAATATCTTCCTCTGTGTACACAGAAAAGAAAAAATAGGTTTGGAACTAGAGAAGGGTGAGTAAAGTATGACTGTTAGAGCTGCAGGATTCTGGCTAAAATGAGACTCACGATTTTTTTTTTTTTTTTTGCTTAAAATAAAGATCATGATTTTCTCACGATTCTGTAGATGTAAAATAAAGGTTAATATGAGCAGTATATTATTATTGTTATTTCTCAAACATGGTAAAACAACAGTAATAATAAGAGTAGCTTCTACTGAGGGTTAAAATGCTAAATTTTGAATAGACTTTGAATGGTGGACTTGAACAGACTTTACATTTGTCCTGGTCTTTAATTCACAGTAAAGTGATCAGAATACAACAATTCATAAGTTTGAGACATGTGCTTGTCATTTGTCATTGACAACATTATTAGATTTTTTTCTACTGGTAAAATCATATAGATGTCATTATCAAATTCCCTCATGCATTATATTCAACGTTATATAGGCTAGAGTAGTTATACTGACACTGTTAGACGTTTATTCTCATGCACAACTCTTTGTGTTCGCTATGAAAGAAAAAACATTTCAAATGCTTGTCGCAATCATAACTCTAAAATGCGATATTATTATTAAATTACGTGCGTGCTTTCGGTTTCATTTTCACTGCTAAGTGTAGTTCATACTTCCCGAGCGGCTTCCAAGCGATCGCTCTGTGCCACAAACTGAATGTTATTTACAACTTTATTGCCCGTTTTTCACAGCCTATGCAGGTTCTGTTCACTGAAGTAGACGCAAGCACGTCTATTATTAAAGGGTCACGAAACAGCAAAACACATTTTTTGAGCTGTTGACAGTCGTATATGTGTCCCACACTGCTAAAAACACTATAAGAACACCTATATTTCACTAAAAAGTGTAAAATGGTTGTTTTTGCGTTATTTCAAGCAAATTCGTACTTCCGGTTTGAAACGAATTTTTGAAGCTGCGTCACGGCTATGAGATAATAGTGTTGTATTCCAGCGTGCGGACTGGGCGTCTGTGCCAGAGTGTGTCTTATTACATCTTACAGTGTGCTGCATTAATGCATGAGTAAGGCTTGGTTCAAACCAATCAGCGCGCTCTATTGTGCAACTTCATTAATATTCCTGTCACAGTGTTTAGACGACAGAGACACCACGTTGTGTTGGCAAAACAAGCGTAAAGTGTTGCTTTTATAGTTTGCTGCAGTTAAGTTTTGTTTTCATTTTCTCTCTGTGAGAGCTCATCTGGAGTCACGTGTGGATTAACAGTGTACGTGACGCTCGACAACAATAACTTATGTGTCTAAGGAGGAACATTGTTTACCTGAGAGCTGTTCTCATCTGCAAACGCTGAGATCCAGATTCGCTTGTAGTCTCCTCTTAATAAAGACGCGGCTCTAGTTGCTGGTGATTGTCCTGTCTCTACAGATTTGGTAAGTGAGCGACCAGTGCTCTTTGTTTATTCAGTTTGTTTGTATCGAACTAACTTTTGCACCAAGTGTAAACATGTTAGCACCACAATCAAACTTTAACCTCGTGTAGGGTTTTCACCGCATTTTGTGACCGGAATAACACACACGGCTTTCTGACACTACCTGCCATGTGCATCTAAGATTCCGGGAAATGCTAAGGGTTTTTTTTTCTCTCATTTGCCGTGCGGTATCAAACATTGCATGAAAAATACACGCTTAGAGCAGTTCATCGAATCAAATATCTCATTTGTCACGAGGGACATAAATGAATTCCCTGAATGAAAGAGCCAAACTGCAGTTAAAGTCCACCATTTAATAATTTGGCAAATAATTCGACTACAGATGTCCGTGTAAACAGTCACTTTCTCCCGTGTGTATGTGTTTTGACTCTGAAACTCGCGCGTGCCCAAATAGACACTCCCACACAATCCCTTTTTAATTCCTCCCCCCTAAACAGAGCTGGACACGCCCACTTTTCTGACTTTTTCCCAAAGTAGAGGTGTGAAAACACCCTGCTAAAACGAGGGGGTTTCATGGCCCTTTAAGGGTGCGCACCCACCCTCTCTGTGGTAACAGCTCACGGTCAGCAGCTCACGTCACGTGTGATTTCACAGTCGCGAATACATTATTACATTAAGACAGAAATTAGATTTGTGGGTGAATTATACTTTATAGATACAATATGTGACCCCTTTAACACCATTTAGAGTTGTCCATGTCGCTGAGCAACGTATATAAAACAACGTGAGGACTTGTGCATCCGCCTTTATGCTTCTCTTCTGAACATTAAAATATGATTGGCAGAATTGTAGAAATGCTGGATTAAGATATAGCGCTGTGGTCACCAAACTTACTCCTGGAGGGCCGGTGTCCTGCAGATTTTAGCTCCAACCTTAATCAAACACGCCTGAACAAGCAAATCAAGGTCTTACTAGGTATACTTGAAACATCAAGGCAGGCGTGTTGAGGCAAGTTGGAGCTAAACCCTGCAGGAACACCGGCCCTCCAGGATCGAGATTGGTGACCCCTGGTCTAGTGAGTCGAATCGAGATCGCAATCTTTTTTCAATTAATTGTGCAGCTCTATGACTGTCCCATCAAATGGGAATCAAGCATTAATTTATGTCCATAGTGATTTGATTTGAAAAAAAAAATTATTAATAAAAAATTCAAAGAGAAAAAAATGCAAAGAGAAAAAAAAATGTAAAGATTTTCTTCTTTACATGTATTTATTGCATTGTTTTTTTTTTTAAATAATGCATCCCCTAATGCATCTGTTAGTGTTTGATCTGTGAACTATTAGTGTCGATCAATAGTAGTTATTATTTTGGTTCATGAGCTTACAAAGCCCAAAATCCCAACTAATAAGCTTAGGAATGCACCAATAAAATTCCATTGTAACATTAAAGGAACACTCTACTTTTTTTGGGAAATTTTACAACACGCCTTGATGTAAACAGTTGAATTTCACCATCTTTAATCCATCCAGCCAATCTCTGGGTCTGGAGGGAGCACTTTTAACCTAGCCTAACATTAACCATTTAATTAGACCATTAGCATCTCGCTCAAAAAAATAAATAAATAAATAAATAAATAAAAGGCTAGGAATTTTCATATTTA